TTTTTCCTAAAATTTTGATTTGAATGTTTTTAAGATTTTATGACATGATCAATTTTTATTATATTCTTTTAAGTAAAAAAAAATGTTGTTAAATGGGTGGGTTTGACTGGATGGGGGTGCTGGGGTGGGGTAAATAGTGGGTACTGGATTCGGTAGCGGATGTAAGAAGTTGCTTGCGGGTGAGGATAGGTAATTAAATTTAAACCTGCTTCAGTATAGGGGAGGGTAGAATAGAATTTTCTTTTTCATGGGGGTAGTTGTAGGGGCTGAATGCCTGTATTATACCTACCTTGTGACCATCACTAGTTGCTCAAGATCCTGGGTCTCTGTCTTGAATATATTTACATAAATTTCTTTGAATGTGAACTTCATTGTTCTTTGTCATGGGTGTGGTCTAAGGGAGTGAGGGTGTTGACACAGATTGAGGAGATTTGGCAGGTGGTATGGATTTGATTCGTACTGAGACTGTGTTGGTGAAGTCAAGTAAAAATAAGTCTTATCCTTATCTTAAATAGATGACATGGTCTCTCTCTGAAGATAGGTAGATTCATATATGGTTTTTTCTTACTAAAAGTAAAATCAATGGAGGCAAAAGTTTTCTAGTAGGTGGATGGTAATCCTTGTGCAATTTTTGGGTTGGTGAATAACCAAAGAATATACACTTGTATACCAAGAGGGTGCAACTTGTATACAAAAGTATTTACAGTTTTAACAAAATGTTTATAAAGTCTCCAAGAATCCACTAGAATAAAGAAGATGACCCCTAACAAAAAGCTTATGGTTTGGGATCAAACATCTTTAGATCTATCAAAATTAGAGTATGCCCTCAAAAACTCTTCTATTTCTCTCTCTTCTGACCCCTTTTGATGGATCGCGTTATGGGCGAGTAACTACAGAATCAATAGGTATAATTGCATAGAGAGAACCCTATGATCTCTAGAGTAAAAACATATTCTTCATTAACATCAATTTCATATCATGTTGTCTTCATCCAGAGCACAGGTTATGTACAAGAGAGGAAGCAATAATTCTATAATTAGAATTTCATGATTGCCTAAACTGCCATTGTCTCATAACAGACTTATTTCTTACCCTAATACACACTTGACACTTCATTTTTATTTTTATTCCTTCTTTATTAAACCTGCGTGTAAGGAACCATTTTGTTCCTAACATCACTTTCTCCCTTGAATAGTGCTTGTCCTCAAGCGCTAAGTTAGGATAGTGTAGTTTCATGTGATTGGCAAGCTCCCAAGAAGCATCTACAGGAGAAGACCCTCCCAATGAATGAAAACCTCATGCTGTCCGTTATGATCTTT